TTGCGCCCAATCCCGGCAGCTACACCAAAAGGCTGGCCAGGGGTCCCGCGATACGAGGGGACCGTATCGCCTCCTCCCGGACTTGGGTGGGGTGCGAGAGACTAATCAGTTACACCCCCCCACACACTTTTTAACATGGGCATTGTTTGGAGGCCTCTCGGTTAAGATACAACCTGATGATGTGAGGGCTAGTCATTGTGGCAAACAGCATGGCAGAAGGTCATGGGTGCATCGGGAAAGTGACGTAGGACCAAGCAGCACACCTCTGTTGTAGGGAGCCCCACTGAGCTGGAACTCCCACCTCTGGATTTCCTGGTTCTGTGCCAGTGCCAGGGATCAAAGATCTGTGAGGCTGTTAGCCTTATTGTAGTGATGGACTCCCCTTAATAGAAGGTCACATTGTAGGCACTGGGAATTCAGCTAATGGGGCTGGTCACTGGGACATGATTGACAGACCAGCTATTTCCACCTCCTTGGCTATTTGCATATCCAATTAGCTAGAGTTAAAATGTTACCAATACAGGTGATTGCAAATCTTTGCACCACAAGTCTGCACAGCATCTTTGGTCTGAAGGTGTCTAAAGATAATACATTAAATACAAGCCTGGTGTCAACATATTTGGGTATGGAGCTAGGCTGCCTATAAGGGCTCTGCCATCTCTAATATCTATCTTGTAAAAAATACCCACACGTTTCTAGAGTGTTTCACTCTATTTCTTGATCTGTTTTATTTCACATGCTTTTATAGGAGAAATGAAAGGTTGGAACATCAGAAGCCTCTTTGTTCACATTACACATCACATCACTCCACAATCACATTTCCTGTACATTCATATGATAACGATTGCCAGTCAAAAATATTTGCCTTGGGAAACGAGTGGTCAAGGAACACATGCTGGATAATGCAGGGTGATAACACATGGTCCCACATACAAAGGTTGCTGATTTCTCCCACAAAGCTTTGGACCTTCTCAAAACTACCTAAGAAAGAATCTGGATCTTGTCCCAGTATAACAGTGCCCTGTGGTGAGATCCTGTGTCCTGGCCTCAAGAATTTTCTTACACTCCTTTTACCATTTACCCAAAGGGCCGTGTGACCGGATTTGGAGTCCCATGTCACACAGATATGGCTCCCAAAGGTGTTGAGTCCTGGGACAGTGAAGTGCACCCCTGGACTGCTCAGGTACAAACTGAAGGTACCATTAAACTCTTGCCACACATTGAGTTCATCGTAGTCCTTGGTGCGGTAGGCAAAAAGAATGACTTCCCGATTGGATGATAACTCTGAGGCCACCTTCATGCAAAGTGTAAATGCTTCAAGATTCAAGGGATGATCCGGAGACAGGACAACATAGCTAGTATCTGTTTCCTCTGGGAAAATAAAGGCTTTGCCAAAGAGATCTAGAGCAGAAATTATAGCTAGTTATAATCAAACCCATCCCATAGTGACTGTACTTTACTCATCATTTGAAGAACAATGTGTGTGTTTGAGTCAGAATAGAATCAGGAAAGAAGACAGGAAGTGATTAAGGCAAAAGTAATGAAAGACCACTCCACAAATATTTGTCTAAGGAATCCATGTCTTCCACAATCTCTCTGACAGACAGGCAGCCTTACTTTAAGATTCACACCTTTCCTCAGGCTCAGAGTTTCAGTGAGTGCGAAGGACTGAGTTACAGGAGTTGGAGTCAGAAGTCTTCCAGCTTGACAGTATTTTGACATTATTTCAAAAGAACTGCCTGCTGTGTAGACATGGACTGTTCTTTTGAAATAATGTTGCCATGTAGATGAACCCTAAGGTGTCACAGGAATACTCATTTCAGAACCTGGAATACTGTATGTCATGGCTATGAGGGTTAGCCAGCAGCCTGGGGATTAAGGGGTTAACTACACCTAGCCAGGTGGAGTGACCAGTAGGAATGTAGGTGGGACTTTCAAACTGGGACAAAGGAATTTGGGTTTTTTCCTTTCTCCCTTTTGTCTCTCTGGGTGTGTTCTCTACAGCTACAGAGAGGGACAAGCATGTCTCTCTCTCTCTCCAAGACACCATTCTTCATTTTCTGTAAGTAGGGTAAAGTTTAGGTAGTTTCGTTAGGCTTTATTGTTTTAAGGGTTGGGTATGGGATCTGATGTCTGGCACTGCTTAAAAGATGTTTTGGCTTTTCTTTGTAACTAAGGGTATGTCTACACTACCCTCCTAGTTCGAACTAGGAGGGTAATGTAGGCATACCGCACTTGCAAATGAAGCCCGGGATTTGAATTTCCCGGGTTTCATTTGCATAAGCGGGGAGCCGCCATTTTTAAAACCCCGCTGGTTCGAACCCCGTGTGTGTGTGTGTGTGTGTGTGTGTGTGTGTGTGTGTGTGTGTGTGTGCGTGTGTGTGGTGGGACTCAGGGGCCAAGTCTGAGGGAAGCTGTTTCATGACCCACCCATTCTTCTAAGTTCCTGCAGTGTATGGGGAACAACTCTGTGTTTGAGAAAGAGGAGGAAGTAAACAGGGGCACCCTCATTTAGGATTTGATTCAGATCAGCAAGGATAAAATGGATAGTGAATCTGAAGGTAGAAAGCAACATGGGTGAAAACAATCATGAAATACATTTCAAGATTCTGAGACCATGTCTCTTTTGTGGGATGATCGACATTGCGGCGGTCGATCTTTCAGCAGTTTATTTAGCAGGTCTAGTAAAGAACTGCTAAATTGAACGCTGACAGTATCCTCATTGGCACAGGTACTCCTACTCCCAGGGGCAGATGACTGTTTTGCGGGGCCCTGGGCAGCATAACTCTTCAGGGCACCCCCTTTGCCACGGCGCATGCACCGTGACGCCATGAGCATGCGCGGTGGCGCCACGGCACATGCACGGGGCTTTTTTAAGTGCGGGGCCCGGGGCGGCCGCCCCGTTCGCCCTGCCCTATATCCGCCCCTGCCTACTCCTCGTGAGTACAAGTACCTCCCATCAATCTCCCACTGTGAGGTTTGCACCAAAGTTTGGCTTAAGGTACATCAACTCCAGCTATGTTTTTTATGTAGCTGGAACTGCATATCTTAAGTTAACCCTCCCCTGTAGTGTCGACCTGGCCTATGGAAAGAAAGGAGAGAGGGTAACAGAATATAAAAAAATGGTCTTCAGCTAACTCAGAGAACTAGTAGACGAGGTCCCATGGAAAGATAATCTTAAGGCAGATGTGGACAAAGTTTTTTGCAGGAGACTACTCCAAGAATATTGGTAAGTGATCACAGGCTGCACTTTTCTTTTATATTAAAAGAGGAGATGTGGATCTGGGATGGAGTTTGAGTGCAGGAGGAAGATCCAGGCAGGGGATTGTTGTGTAGGAGGGGGTACAGGACCTGGGAGTAAGTTTGAGTGCAGGAGAGAGGCAGAAAGTTGGAGAGCAGAAGTGGGTGCGAGGTGCAGGCTCTGGCCCTGGTTATGAGGGCCTTACCACAGGCAGCTCCCAACCAGTTGTTACCAGCAAAGGCGCACTAGTAAACTAATTTAGGATGGGCTGACTAGATGGTGAATGCCTTTGTCCCAGAAGGTGGTCCGACCTGGAACCCACCGTATCTGTCACCAGCAGATTTCTCAGATGGAAACAAACAGACTCTGATTTCAATTTTAAAAGGTGTATTGAATACAACAGATAACCAATAAATTGAATAACCCCAAACACAACACTATATAACCAACCCTACACCCTTGAAATAATAAGGTGTTAAGCAGTGCGTAAAGAAAATTATACTCAGTCTATCCAGAGATGGTAGACGGCAGCCGAGGCTCAGGACCTACGACCCTTTAGCCCAGACAGCCTCAGGGGAGGAACACTGAGGAATCCTTGGTGTTGCTTCGTCGACGATATGACAGTCAGTTCGTGAACGGAACACACACAAGAAGGTTTTCCCAGCTCTGGAGTAAAGGGTATTCACTGTGGGAGAAAAATCAAATAACTCCAATTGTGTCTAAGGGGGGACTGTGCAGGAAATCAAAACTCTCTAAAAGAAAACTGCTGTAAGGGTTAAAAGTTTTCCAGACCTCTCTCCCTGTAACAGAGAGAAATCAAATTAACTCTAATCAAGACCCTTACAATGCCTATCTCAAGTTCATGGATACTCCTAGTCTGTCACAATTTGTCATGTAAACCCTTATCTTTGTCACAGTTTGCCTTGTAGACTCCTCTACTCAAGTTCTCATGTGGCTTTGTACTGTAAAACTTACTTCTAGCACTCCTGGGGTACGTCTAGACTACAGGCTTCTGTCGACAGAAGGTGTCTCGACTACATCTGTCGACAAAACTTCTGTTGACAAAGAGCGTCTAGACTC